CAAAGCCAGTTCGAGAAGGCTGCCGCAGCGGCATCGAGCTGCCGGTCGCCACGAAGTCCACTGACAAAATCGGAAATCCCAGCCGGACGAAGCTTCGCGACAGCGTAGAAGATTCGAGATGTGTAAGATCCAAGACTAGTAGGGACAGGTCCAGGCTTCCCAAGCCAAAGACCGAGAGGCTTGGCCCAGCGCAGAAGGGATTGCGAATGAACAAAGGAGATCCTGAGCTGCTGCTATCAAAGACCGACAGCGGCAGATCCACCCTGCCGAGACCGAAGAACGATGCCGCTGGACCTGTGCAAGCAAAGTTCCGGATGGAAAGGGCTGGTTCCGTGTGCGAGGAATCAGGAACAAACACGGATGGCTCAATGCATCCTAGTCCTGAGACCAATGCGAAGGAGGCAAAGCAAACGAAGGAGCGGGCAAAAAGCAGCAAGTCCAGGTGATGGAAGCCTGGCACAAGCACCGCTAGGCCAGGCCGTGCGGTGGCAGAAGTAAGCACGGATGTGTCCGAGTAAGCAGCACTGTGGGGCAGCACTATCGGATCTGGCTGCGAGCAATCGGAGACGAACATCAAAGGGCCAAGCCGCGACAACCCGAATGCGAACAGTCGAAGTCCTGAGCTGGCCGGAGATCGAACTGACGGTGAGGGGCCCGAGTGCGACGCATCAAATACAAACAGCTGCAGAACGAGGCAGAACGAGCCGTCGATCGGAGGCGAGAGCTCAGGTCATGCACAGCTGCGAAGCGACAGTGGCAGCTCCAAATGCAAGAAATCCAAGGCAAACACAGATAGGTCGGAACATCCCATGCCAGAGACGGAAACTAAAGAGCCCAAGCGTGCTAAGCTGCGTGCCAGCATCGACGAGTCTGGAGCACTCCCGTCAAAAACTGAGGACTGGGAGCCAATGCATGTCATGCCGGAGAAAGGCATCGGTAGGTCAATCCGAACAAAGCTCCGTGCGGACGGAAGGGAGGCAATGTGGCCAGAGTCGAACACAGGAGCCGAAGAGCCCGAGCGACCCATTCCAAACGTCGATGCCACTGGTCCAGGGCGCGCGAGGTTTCGCGCTGGCAGTGGCGAGCCCAGTGCAGAGTGGTCGAGGATAGATGCCGCTGCACCCAGCTTGGTCAAACCGAATGCGGATGCCACACTTCCAGCTCAAGCGAAATTGCGGAGAGGCGGCGGGAATTCGAGGTGTAGAAGGTCGGAAGCGGATGTTGAAGAGCCGAGGCACCCTAGACCGGAGACAGAAAAGGCAAAGTCAAGGAGAGCGAGGCTTCGGGTAGGCGGCGACAACCCAAAATGCGCAAAGTCAGATACAGGCACCGGAAGCTCCGAACGTCCCAGGCCAAAGAAAGGCACAGCTGGGCCCGTGCAAGCTGGGCTTTGGGCTGGCGATGACGAGCCTGAATGGTTGCAGTCAAAAGCAAACATGCGCGGTTCCACCGTCGATGCACCAAAGGATGAAGGAGCAGGACCGAGTCTCGCTGCAGACTGCAACAACAGCAGAGGTCCCAGATGCAGAGAGTCAAACGCTGGCACAGATGCTTCGAAGCAAGCCCCGCCCCAGATCAGAAGAACAGACCCCGGCTTGGCACATGACCGTGGCAACGATGTCAGGCCACAGCTTGCCATGTCAAAGGCGAGAAGCAGGGATTCGACACGTGCGATTCCGAAGGCAGATACCACAGAGCCCAAGCAAGCTGAGGATCTTGCCGGCGACGGAAAATCTGAATGGTCAAGATCAGAGACAAAAGGCCCAGAGTCTACGCACGCCACACCCCAGACTGGAGAAAACAGCTCCACTCAACCAAGGCTTCGAAGAGACAGCAGCAGATCTGAGTGAAGGAAGTCGGATGCTGGCAATGACGAGCCGTACTTGCCACAACCCATAGCTGGCAGCAGCAAGCCGACACACATGCAGTTGTGTGAGGGAAGAGAAGACCCCAGGGACGAGCGATCGAGAACTGGGGGACTAGAGTCTGTACACACTTGCCCGAAAGGAGGCAGCAAGGAGCCACCGCATGCCGAGCTGCGCAAAGGAAGGGGGCTGCCCGGTCCTTCACAGTCAAAGGCTGGAGTCAAACTTCCCAGACATGCCAGACCGGAGATCAAAGCCGCCGACTCCAGCTGCGCCAGAGATCGTACAAACAGCAGAAGGTCTGAAGCCGAGCTGTCCAAGACCGAAGGCAGCGGGCCAATTCATGCCAGACCGGAGGCAGGCGGCACGAAGCCAGATCTCGACGTGCATTGCGCAAACGGAAAGGAACCCAGTGCAGAACTGTCCGGCACCGGTAGGAAGGATTCAATGCGGCCTAAGCCAAATGCAAAAACTGCCAGCCCCGTTCTGCCAAGAGACCGCATCGACGGAAGGCTGCCGGGATGCAGGAAATCAGATGCCGACATCGATAATCCGACTCGCCCCATCCCGGACGAGGGCAGTGCAAAGCCTGGTCAAGCCGCGCTTTGAAGCAGTGGGATCAAGCCCGTGTGGCCGCAGTCAAAGGTGGAAGCTGCGGCGTCCGGGCATCCCATGCCGGAGAAAGGCACCACTGGACCCGTCTTTGCCAGTGACCGTGCAGAGGGAGACAGGCCCAGGTGTCCACGATCGAGTGCCAGCAAGGAGAAGCCGAGGTTGGCCGCTCCGGACGTCAATACGGCCAAGCCAGGGCAAGCAGAGCTGCGAGGCAGCAGCGCGAAGTCTGAGTGCAAGAGGTCAGATGCAAATGTAGAAGAGCCTGCGCGTCCCAGCCCAAACAGTAGCACAGCGGGACCCAAACACACCGGACTTCGAGCGAGAAGCGCTGGTTCCGGGTGGCTGTAGTCAGAAGCGGACAGGGGACTGTCCAGGCAGCCAAATCCAAACGACGAGGCCGAGAAACCCAT